TTTCTCCAAATTTGTCAACTTTTGCTTATTTTCTTCGATCTCACCAACTTACATCACAACATCAAAATCACACATCTAATTATTTATCAATTACATAAACATTACATCATTAATTATTTAATTAACAAAAAAAATTACATCTTTATTAATAACAAATTAATTTTTAAACAAAACTATTAAATATAAACTACGCAAACGTGCATTGCACGTTGCTTGCACCTAGTATATATAAATATGACAAACAATGAACAATAAAATATGACTTATTTTAATAAATTAAATCGATTATGGGATTAATTGTTTAATTAGGCTAAATTCAGGAGAGTTTAGAATATCTTCAAGAGACTCTCTATTTTTAAAAAGTATATTTTACAATTTAGAGAAATCTATAAATTTAGAAAATAAAAAATTTGAAGTACTCCGACAAATTCTTTGTTTTTAACATTTAATTTTATTACTTCCAAAAAATATTTATTATTTTTCCTTATCTTTTACTTTTTCCAGTTTCCCCCCAAATTATTATAGTATTTTCTTCTATTGAAAATTGAAATATTAATTATAGATTATGTTTGGCTCTCCAAACCCACTCTTTATTTTAAAATGTTAATTTGAGGAATCTTTTAAAGCATAATTTTAAGGGTTGCCAGCTTGTAATCTCTTCAAAACGTTTTAACAACTTCTGATGTGAGGTTCTTTTTCATGCCAAGATTACTTATACTCACGTGTGCATGTTAATTTCTATAACAACCGATGTGGGATTCCTTTTCGTTTGCTCATATTACCTATTTTCCATGCTTGCATGTTTAATTTCAAATTTACTTTAATTTTGAGTGCAACAAAAAGTAAATAGAAATTTTCACCTCAATCGTTTTATTTATTCAATTTTTAAATTTTGACTTAAAATTCATTTCATTATTAACATAATAATATTATGCATCAATTTCTATAAGCTCAAACGATTTCAGTTTTAATCAGCCAAAATGGATTTGTATTTACATTGACTTAGTAGTACAAAAATTTAAAAAAATATTTTTCTTATAGTATTTTATTATTTGTGTATCTAGTTATTACATCCATTCGACTCTGATTGAGCTTTTTTTCCATCGATCCTTGAACTTTTTTGGATCGACCGATCGATGTTCTAGTCGATTTTCAAAATATGGTTTAAAGAGCCTTGTGAATATGCTCTTATCATTTGTATTTGGACAATTATCATTTTCCTTATCTTTTTTCTTCACCGACTATATTACTAACCAATTTATAGTAAAACCATTGAAAATTTGAACTATTACACTGTATTAATATATATTAGTATTACTCTCTATCTCAAGTTAAATGTATTTTTTATTTAAATTATTTTGTACTAGGTTTTTACTTTTAGCACAAGAGACATTATTAATTAAATTAAAACTTGTAAAAGGCTCAAAGCACAACTAGTGGTAAAACGTATCAAGACTTGTAGCAATAGACAAAGAGTGAAATATAGACCGTTCAATTATAGTAATAATAGAGAATTTTATTCCATGGCTACACTTGTCATTGTCTCTCATATCACTCTAACTCATTAATTGGACACCTAATCCAGGGGCAAAAGTCCAGCATTGAAATCTTTACTGTTCTGCCTGTCCTATAACATTTTTTCAAATTGTTTTAACTTAACATGTGGATATACAACCTTCCTACTATAGTACTTCAATACATTTTTTTCCCTAAAACTAGAAAAACTGTGTTTTCTTATTCTCCAATCTAGTCTAGTCTGTTGCTATCTATGAAGAAACGTGCCAACAGTGACATTATTTTTTTTTTTATTTTTTTTGCATAATTGAAGCGATGAATTCTACGATGATACTTGATAGGTAACACTTACGGAATTTTTTTCATTAGAAATTTCACATCGTAGTTTTATTTTGCCTTTAAAACAAAAATAACAAAAAATTTGTCGGAACGTTTGTCAAGCATTTTTGGTACGTTTTGTAAAACATTCTGAAGCTTATCGGATGATCAAATTTTATTTTTATTCACTATATAGAATCGTATCTTTTATCCACACATTCTTCTATAAGGTATAACGCATGCTTATAATGTAGAAAAAGTATTACCAAACATACACTATTAGAATTAATTGTCATCCATTATTATGTAATCTGTTTACTAAAAGATTATTGTCCATAAAGCATTAAACGTAATTGCTATATTTTCATAGACCATGCTACAAGTATATAATCATTTACATAATACATTACATAATTGACATGTGGCGCGTATTCATCGGCATTCTACAATTTTTGACTTTTCCACACTTCACATTCACGACGAGATTTCTTCCACATGGGCCTATGTNGACAAGATTTCTTCCACAATGGGCCTATGTAATTCATTATGTACAATAATTATGTACATATAGATTTATTCATTTTCATATCCATCTCTTTCATTCACAACAATTTAAGCAAGAACATCAAGTAAGAGACAAATATTCCTCCCCCAATTGTCAGAATTCAAAGCCTTTGACAATGAAACTCGAAACAGAAAGATCAAGTAACATAAAAATGCTGGAATTCTACGTTTGGTACGCAAATTTGTAATTTATTAGTGAGAGACGTGCTTAAATGATTCATCATCTTCATGTTTAGCGTGGTCAAAACCAGCTCTCATTTTTCTTCACCTCCAGCTGCACCCATGTATACATATATACATCTCTCTCTATATATATATTGTATGCATAGCCTAAAAACAGATAAAAACTTTGGAGGGTTCACATCATCATATATTTATTTTTTAGAGTGAGTGAAATATGAAGGTTTCTCTTTTACATTTAATAGGTTTTCTTCTTTTAGGTGGGGTGCTGCCCATTCAAGCTGCTCTCATCCGTCGCCATAGGTTTGTGGTAAGCTTGATTTTTTGCCATGAAGATTATGAAATAAGTTATAAGTTCACGTGCATTGATATTTATTATTTTTTTAGACATATCATGTCGGATTCTTCTTTTCTCACGTGCTAAAGTGTGAACTATGAGTAGTAAGGAGTTACATTTTGGGTACCAAGAAATTTCTTGTCCATCGTTGGTATTATTGGGACCATTATCACTTTAAATATTGGTTTTTGTTTTTTTCCAAATATATTTTTAAGCAATTAATTTCTTTTTTCTTGATACTTGAACTCCACCTCTTCTGAAATCTTCTTTCTCAAAAGCTATTATCTCCTTTGTTTGCATCAACAAGCGCAAGGAGAAATGCTGACTGCACCCTGGCATAAATCGTGTTGCGCTCAAGCTTATCTATACCAATTTACTTATATATCACTGATATGTATCAAACTGTATCGTAAGGTAGTGACGATACAACGGAGCTTCGCTCCAATTTTCTTCATTTTCTTGATAACAAAAAATTCTAGTAATTACTAGTTATCATAAACTCTGATGAACTCATTGGGTTTTGCAGTTGACAGATACTCCATACACAAGGCTTTGCACTAACAAGAGCATTTTAGTAGTAAATGGACAATTTCCAGGGCCAACTATATATGCCACTGAAGGAGATACAATAGTTGTTGATGTGTATAACCGAGCAAGGGAAAACGTAACCATTCACTGGTATGAATTTCAAGTGCTCACTCAATTCGGAGCACGTTTAATACGCAATATTGAATTTAACAATATTATAAACAATATTTTTGATTATTCACTGTAATCAATTTTGTAGGCATGGAGTCAGGCAACCTAGATATCCATGGTCAGATGGTCCTGTGTATATTACTCAATGTCCCTTACAACCTGGGTCAAAGTTTAGCCAAAAGATTTTGCTTTCGGACGAGATAGGAACCTTATGGTGGCACGCCCACAGCGATTGGTCACGCGCCACTGTGCACGGTGCAATTGTTATTTATCCCAAGAAGAAAAATAATTATCCTTTTCCTAAGCCTGATGCAGAAGTGCCCATCATATTAGGTACTGTAAATTAAAATGTTTTTTGATTGCATAATAATAATAATAATTGACAAAGAAATTGAATGTTTGGAGCTGATGGTGTAATACAGGGGAATGGTGGAATAGTGATATACAGGCAGTTCTGACTGAGTTTCTTGATAATGGAGGGGAGCCAAATGTTTCTGATGCTTTCCTCATAAATGGTCAACCCGGTGATCTCTATCCGTGCTCAAGATCAGGTTGGTTTCTTAAGTGGTTTCAACTTTGGGTGCGATTGATTGCAAGTATGAAATTTGTATGAAAAAAAAATTTCTAGACAAAATTCAGTTGCCTAAAACTTATTTGTATGGAAATTATTAATTAAATGTGTTTGATTGATTTAGTTTTCAACGTAAAAAAAATTTATACTTATTCATTTTTTATTGATGGGTAGATAAGAGAAGTGGGATAGAGAAAGAGAAGGATAGTGTGAATTGTCTGGAAAATAAAAAACACTCATCCCCAAAGAAAACATTTTTCTTATTTTTGAGGAAAATATGATCACGTGATCAAAAGTTGAAAAATATTTTTTATAGAATCAATCAAATATGTCAAAAGTAAGAATTTGTGTGAAAAAACATCTTTCATGAAAAGTAAAGTCAATCAAATTCACTCTAAAGCTTAATTTGTTTGAAAAGTAGGCCTCAATAGTATTAACTCTGAAAACAATATTTGATGATTAAGTAAATTAAAAGTAAGTGTGATTAAGCACAATCAAGCATATAGTCTGATAGGCGTGTTCGGCTTTAAGTAGAAGTTGCTTTTAAATAATATTTTTTTGGTTCTTAACATCTTTGAATAACAAACATTTTTTCAAACTTTCTAACCTAAAAATTTGAAAATAATTCTTACTTTATTATCAAAATAATTAGTTTATTTATTTTTAATTTTCATAAATAAAAAAAATTGTTTATTATAAAACTTATATATTGACTATTAAGCAAACTTTTCAAGCTTACCCATACATATCCCAATAATTCTTACCATTTTACTATGTTTCTTGAAGAATTAGTTTTTCATGTTTTTTGGGTAAATCCAATCGGGGTAAGACGATTTCTTGAACAAACATCTTGTACATAAAGAAAGGTTTATGTAGATTTAAATATATAAAAATTATACAGACATGCACATGGCTGCAAATTTAGGCCCACAAGAGTAAAAAAGGTTATTCATGATGGGTAACAAGTGCAATATATTTGGTGTTATAAAAGTTCACGAGTAAGTTAAGTGGAAGAATACAATATGTTCAATTATATTTAAGAATATCGGACTCATTTAATTGAACTTGTTATATTTTTCTATTTAAATTAGTGTTTTAGAACCATTGATATTATATAACATTATTATACCTGTGAAGTTTCAAAACAGTTTTCCTACACCCTATTTCTTTTCAAAAAGATTCACTCCACTGTTTTTTTCTTCTTTTTTATTTCCTCCATTTGTTGGGTTGCTTGGAACTGGATGGGTGAGTGAAATCAATCAAGAAGTTAGATGCAAAACTGTTTTCTAATGAAATCTAATGAAAAAATATTAAACTTTGAACTGTAATCGTTTTCTCCATGCAGATACATTTAAGCTGACAGTGGAATGTGGGAAAACTTACTTGATTCGAATGGTTAATGCCGTCATGAACAACATTATGTTCTTTTCTATCGCAAACCACAGTGTAACCATTGTTGGATCAGATGCTAGCTACACGAAGCCAATTAGAAGTGATTACATTGCCATCTCTCCAGGACAAACCATCGATTTCTTGCTGAAAGCTAATCAAAAACCTAGTCACTACTACATGGCTGCTCACGTTTATGCTAGTGCAGCAAGCTACGACAACACAACCACAACAGCTATTATCGAGTACAAAGGGAATTATACCCCTCCATCGTCTCCATTGCTGCCAAGTCTTCCCACATTCAATGATACAATTGCTTCAACTAATTTCACAGGGAGACTCAGAAGTTTAGGAAGTAAAGATTATCCGGTCGATGTTCCTGAAAATGTGACAAATATATATCTCTTTACAATTTCCCTCAATTTAACCCCATGTCCAAATAATTCATGTCAAGGACCTTTTAATGAGAGATTTCGAGCAAGTGTGAATAACATAACCTTCGTGCAGCCTACAATTGCAATTCTTGAGGCTTACTACCGGCGCATCAGAAATGTCTATGGTGATGACTTTCCTAGTGATCCACCGTTTGCTTTCAATTATACTGCAGCTATGATCCCTCGAGACCTATGGAGACCTCAAAATGGCACAGAAGTAAGAGTTCTTGAATACAATTCTACGGTGGAGATTGTTTTCCAGGGAACAAATATAGTTGCAGGAATAGATCATCCTATGCACTTACATGGGCAGAGCTTTTACGTAGTTGGATGGGGATTTGGAAACTTTGACAGAGACAATGATCCATTGAATTATAATCTTGTCGACCCTCCACTAATGAACACTATCGCGGTTCCTGTAAACGGTTGGACAGCTGTCAGATTCAAAGCAAGTAATCCTGGTAAGTGACATTGTCTCCTCGAATTCATTGTTATACCCGATATAAATCTTTTTCCTATCGTTTCATCATCATTTTCGATAGCTTATCATAAAACCCTTATTCAATATGTAGGAGTTTGGTTGTTGCATTGCCATCTAGATCGCCATTTAAGTTGGGGAATGGATATGACATTCATTACCAAAAATGGCAAGGGAAAAGATGCTAGAATGTTGCCTCCACCTCCAGATATGCCCCCATGTTGATGCTAAGGCACATTGCAAGTTTCATATTCAATCGATGAAGTTCATACATCAAGTGTAACCGAAGAGCTTGTACTATATGTCCAAGATGTAAAACGTCATATAAATAATTCACTTGTAATTTGTTTGGAATTGTATACGATTTGTAAGGACGAATTATTAGTTTAATTAGTACCATTAGAAAAATAAATTTATTTCTCTAAAATTCGAGAAATTTATTTCGGAGAATTTTATATGTGGATTTTTTTCAAGTCTATGAATAAATGTTAAGATCTAAAATTAGGACTTTTTGGATTTCTAAATCCTGGTGTGTTCATTTTAATAAGAATTTGGCGTTCTGAAAATACTAAATATACTGTAAAGCCTTCATTATTCTTTTTCACTTCATCGTCTTCAGATTTCTTCTTTGTTAATTTTCTTGCAATCATTTTTTGACAATGCATCAAGAAGTTTGTTATTATCAGATATTGTGAGTATACTTTTATCTGCATTTTGCTGTCGTGTTGTAGAGGACAAAACGGGAAACGCTATTTAACTACTAAAATTTATCATTTAGAGTTGGCGAAATTGGTTTTTAAGACAACTAATACATACCGTTGTAATTAATTTTCATGTATTAAGAATGAAATCTAGTTACTCCATGAAAGTCTAATAATCAATTTAGTACCAAAGTCCAAAAAAACTCATACCAGCAATTAAATCAATAAAATAAATGAGCTGCCGTAATCAACATATAAATTTTTTGGATATTCCTCTAAGTAAGATTGAATTTTTAAAATGGAACCTCAATATATATACTTAATCGCTTGTGCAGCACTAAGGAATTCCCATACCTGATGCAGTTGTCCCATGGCTAGCCTTCCCTCCAGAGACCAATAAGCTCGACATAAGTCAAAAAGCAGTACTTTAAGTATGATGCAACGACAATGGCTGCATATATTATGTCATTATTAGTCCACATTTGGCACTATGGGTACATGTATGGGACTTACTCCGCCATCCAATTCTTCTATGGCACTCGTAGCGGACCTTGTGTCTCCCTTCCAAGCGCAATCTTCATATTTCATTATCCCATACAATGTCTAAGAAAACTTCTCCACATTTGCAGCACCATTTCAAGACATACAAGTTCTCTTCATTACTCTCCCCGCACACTTGCTTGTAGTACCTCAATACATTCTAATTTCGGCACCAACCTTCACCCTATACCTATAGGCAATAGTCCCTTGATTCGATGTTCACTGCCACACCGACATTGTGTATGCCAAAACACCAACACTAGACGTCCATCAGTGGGATTTCCAATGTAATACGCCATGCACTCCCTTAAATAAACATGCATCCAGATAGGGCCAATCGATGCAATGCATGCTTGTTGCATCCACCAATTTCATAGCATTTCCTCTATTATTGAAACTTGGATCTATTCTAGAAGGTCAATTTTATTGAAAAGAGTAGTACAAGCTGTTGGAATTTGATGCCATTTGTGACAATAGCTTTCTAACTATTTTTTGGGGCAATGATGAAAAATGGGCTAAGCCCGAAAGCTGTTGAAATGTTTTTCTGAAAAAACTATTGCCCGATAACTCAGTCAAGAATCGGGCCCATAACCCAAGCCCAAAAGGAATAATCAAGTTCGTTGCTCTGGATCGTCGGATGAAGTTTGATCTAATGGTGGATGGCTTAGTCTATATATACTAGTTTGACTGTTCATTATTGGCAGAATTCTTTCACCCGTTCATTGCTTTGTGCGAGTAAGTGTTCTGGAGAGTTCTTCCTGCCCTTTGTGTCTTGGTGTTCGGCTAAGTCATTACTTCCTGTTTTCTGCCTTTGTGGATGGATTGAAACATTTGGTTTCTAATCCTTGTTCTGTGTTTGTTCTGTGTGATATTGCCTTTGTGGTTGAGGGTGTTTGGAGGAGTAGATCGTTTCGGTCGAATGTGTCCATTGAAGTAGCTTCTTGGATTATTTCCTTAGGGTTTTGGGTAGTTTGTGGCTAGTTTGAGATTGTATAGATGTTTACAATGTCTATGTGAAAATTCTGAGCCCATTGTAACTTTCAATTCAACTTTGTGTAAATCTAATTTGGTATTTTTGGTGAATATATTTCTGCTTTCGTAGGTTTATTCCTTACACAAGCCATCATGTTGATTAATATTTTTTTATCTTTGATTTCTGCAAGATGATGATTCATTTGAAAACATTAATTTTAAAATTCATGTGCTTGTTTGAGTATTAGTCGGATGAATTGCTCATTTGAATTAAAATATCTAACTCAGATATCATATTAAGATTTAAAGGTCAATCTTATTTAAAAATAGTAGTCAAAGTCCTTATATGTTATAATTCACCCAATAAGGAAAATAATGTTTAAGCTCCTATTTTGTGTAGATTAAAATCAAACTTTTAGTAAATTTTGATAAAAGTTGATGAAATGTATGGTTAACAAGTTGTGGATCCAATGAATATGTAGCTCAAATTAATTGTTGACAATATAAACTTAAATTTGTTTATCAACTTTTAATTTACATCAAACAATTACCAACTTTTTATTTATACCAAACAAGGGCTAAGTGATGAAGATTGACTAAAGTGATCTATTGCTTTTAATTTTATTTTAGTTATCGTCATTTGTTATTGTAGGGATATTTTAGTCTTTACTATCTAAACACTCGTAATAACTTAGTTCTCAGTATTTGATACTTCAAATAAACGAGTCCAAATTCTCGATATTTGTCATCAAATCGAGGTTTTGATGCTTAATTTTTTTGGTTTTCTTACGAATTAAGAGATAATAAACCGTGGTAATGTTTAGATATATATTCAATTGAAATAACGAGATTTCAATCGTGTACTCGTTCATTTATTTTTTCTATGCTTTCCGCATACATCGTTAAGGATCGATGCTGGAGCCATCCAAACAAATTTCAAACAATAATTAGCATCGTAATGCAACGCTCTAACTTTACGGACTAATTGAATTATTGAATATGATAGAAAGCAAAGGGCAGCTTGATTTCCCTATTTATCGTACGACTTGTATTATTTTGACCGTTAAGATACTGAAATTGAATACGCGTTCTTGGGTTTAATGCGTTGACGATTGAAGTCAATAAATAAAAAATTCTTTCTCTAACAAATTAAATTATTTTAAGTGACATGGTTCAATATTTTAACTTTATTTTCTTTATTATTTATTTATAAAAATTGTATATGTAATGCCTATGTTAGAGAATGAATTTGTGTGAGACAATATTAAATTTAAATAAATAAATATATTATATCTTTAGTAATTTAAACTTTTAAATAATTTGGTTCGTTAAATCTGAATTCACTTCTAGATAATTTAATTAAAAGTTTCTTCAATGAATAGTATTATATAAAAGTAAACAATTAAGGATGAACATAATTTGTTCACATTTACACTTTAACGGATTAGACACTGATTTCAATTATGGCATTTGTCATTATCGAATAAGATAAAGGTTGACCTAATCATGAGCTGAATTTGTCCCGCCCTAGTACTTTGCCTTGGTCTCAATATCATAGCAGTAACTTTTGATTTTGCAAATGAGAATTTCAAATCCATAAACGATATTCCCAAACTGTGAGCGCCCTTGTACGCCAATAATATTTTTCGTATCTAAACCACGAGAGATGTTAACTTAACACGCAATCGCAAGATCGAGGGTTTGAAAAATATAACAATCCAGAAGATCAAATGTTGGTTTGTGAGTTATAAACCAAACGATTTTTCACTCAAGGCTTTTGAGCTCTAGTAAGTCTCGAAGTTCCATCTTCAAAAGATCGACCTGTATTGTTAAGGAAAATAGAGAAATACTCAAATATTGACTATTTCATATTTTAGAGACGTGTAATTCAGATAATACTACCTAACTCAACAAAAGGAAGTAAACTTTACAAGAGAAGATTTCAAATAGAGAAAAATTGTTTTTGTTTGAAATGTCAAATACACGGAATATGAAAGCAAAATATGACCAACTACTAGTCGCCTCATGAACTTACGTAAGTTAAATAGCAGCTCCACCATCTTTCCCAACCCTATAAATACATGAAACTCTTGTGCTAATCCAAACAACAACACAAAGAAAAAATATATTAATTAGAATATAGAAAGCAATCAAGCAAGCAATAATGTGGTTGATTATGAAAGTTTTCGTTTTACATTTCATAGGATTTCTTCTTCTCGGTGGCGCACTGCCGACCCATGCTCAGGAACGTCGCTACAAGTTCGTGGTGAGTATAATGCATGCCTATATTATTATTTAGTGTTTTTGACAGCAGAAATTTAAGATTTCTTGAAGTTAATGATCTTTGTTTTTGCAGTTGAGAGATGCTCCATACACAAGGCTTTGCACCAACAAGACAATCTTGACAATAAACGGACAATTTCCGGGGCCAACTATATACGCTACGAAAGGAGAAACGGTCATTGTTGATGTTTACAACCGAGCAAATGAAAACATCACCATTCACTGGTATAAACATCTTTGTATACTTTGTATATGTGTGTGATCAACCAATACAGACTGGAATTTATTAAGCCTTGTACAAACATTTTGCAGGCATGGAGTGAAAATGCCAAGATATCCATGGTCTGATGGTCCAGAGTTCGTCACTCAATGCCCCATTCGACCAGGAACAAAGTTTAGCCAAAAGATTGTGCTTTCGGACGAGGAAGGAACTTTATGGTGGCATGCACATAGTGAATGGTCACGTGCCACGGTGCATGGGGCCCTCATTATTTATCCCAAGAAGAAAAATGACTATCCTTTTTCCAAGCCTCATGCAGAAGTGCCCATCATACTAGGTCTGTATCTTTATGGGATGCCAAAACCCTTTTAATTCCTTTTCTTTTTCAATTTTTTAATCTATATGAAAGAATTAATATAATGAAAAATAAAAATGAGATGACAAGTAACTCAAGTTTGAAGCTGTTGCAATTCAGGTGAGTGGTGGAACAGTGATGTGAGAGAGGTTCTTAATGAATTCATGGCAAGCGGAGGGGACCCAAATGTTTCAGATGCTTTCCTTATCAATGGCCAACCTGGGGATCTATATCGGTGCTCGAAATCAGGTTGGTGGATGAATGATGAATCAATTAGTTAGAATTCTCACAGATTCTTGGTAATACGTTCTAGCCAATGACATCAACTAATCATGCAAATATCTTATGTGTCATATATTTGCAGATACATTCAAGCTGACTGTGGATTATGGCAAGACTTATTTGCTCCGACTGGTTAATGCAGTCATGAACAATATTATGTTCTTTTCCATTGCTAACCATAGTATCACTATAGTTGGATCAGATGGAAGATATACTAAGCCTTTAAAGAGCGATTATATTGCCATTTCACCTGGACAAACTATTGATTTCTTATTGGAAGCTAACCAAAATCCTGGCCGCTACTACATGGCTTCGAGGGTTTATGCTAGCGCAGGGACTTACGACAGTACAACTACAACAGCTATTATTGAATACAGAGGAAATTATACTCCACCAGCATCACCAATGCTTCCAAATCTTCCAAATTTCACTGATACAAATGCTTCGGCTAGTTTCACCGGTAAACTCAGAAGTTTAGCGAATAAGAAGTATCCTGTTGAGGTTCCTTTAAAAGTGACCACGAAATTATTCTTCACCCTATCCATCAATTTACTCCCATGTGCCAATAACTCATGTAGAGGACGTTTCAATCAGCGTTTTGCTGCAAGTGTGAATAATATAACCTTCCAGCCACCCAGAGTCGACATTCTTCAAGCTTATTATAGGGGAATCAGAGGAGTTTACGGAGATGACTTTCCGAACAAACCACCATTTCCATTCAATTATACTCAAGATTCCGTCCCTCCAGACCTGTGGCTGCCCCAAAATGGGACTGATGTAGTGGTTCTTGACTACGATTCCACGGTTGAGCTTGTTTTCCAGGGAACAAATACAGTTTCAGGGATAGATCATCCCATGCACTTACATGGATATAGCTTTTATGTAGTTGGATGGGGATATGGAAACTTCGACAAGGACAAAGACCCTTCGAACTATAATCTTGTCGACCCTCCTCTAATGGAAACGATTGCAGTACCAAGAAATGGCTGGACAGCAATCAGATTTAAGGCGAATAATCCAGGTACATATGATTTCTATTCAAGTTATTATCATTATTTTTCATCACCGTGCATTTCAAGGAACTAAAAGAGTTAAATTTGTACGTCGCAGGAGTTTGGTTTATGCATTGCCATTTCGAGCGTCACGTAAGTTGGGGAATGGGGATGGCATTCATTGTTAGAAATGGCAAGGCTCCAGATGCCAAAATGCTGCCTCCTCCACGAGATATGCCAAGGTGTTAGGTGCTCAACCTATCAACCAAATGTAGCCTATGATCATGTACCACATGTTGAAGATGTAGGACATTCTTCGCAGATTTCGTTCATTATTTGTTTGGAAATTGTATGTAGCTTGATTTTTTTTATTATTGTCTGGAATTTTATTCATTGCAAAATAATTGATATAATAAAGTTTGCTAAGAAATTACCTTTTTATTTTGTGTCGGAAAAAGCTCTTTCTCTTTCTCTTGTTGTTGTTTGGTATTATAGTGAAGACGAGCAATGAGTCCTATGAAATGTATGAATGTAAATAATGGGGTCGTAGTTGTGAATATGTGGGTAATGTTTGACTTCAGATTGTAATGAGATTATAATAAAATTGAAACAAGCTCTTAGTGTCGATTTTTGAAATGGTTTGAGCTTTGTATTAGAACTATAAGAAATGATGAGTAGCCATAAATAGTATATACAACAAATGTGTAAAAAGATGACCGTTTTCAAGAGGTTAGAAAAATAATAAATAAATAAATAGAAAAGGTCAATTATGCAACATAGAGCGGGAGCATAGAAAATCTATATAGAACACAAATCAAGATATTGAGATATAGGAAGAATTGATATATGTTTCTTGTTGTTCAGAAAATAAATAAAATGGAAATAAGGTTGTTTCTTGTCAATGTTAGGAAACTAGCTTTCCACGACGGCATATTAATTTATGTAGTGCTAGTTTGATAGGGTTAACTTCCTTTAAAAGATATTCTAATCAGATAGAATACGCACGAAGAATTATACAAATAATTTCAAAAGCTATTTCTGTCAAACGGGCACATAATAATGTTTCTACTTGATGATGAATTTAAAATTATATAAAGATTGTAATGTTAATCCACATACTTTCCTCCAAATTTTATATGTATAGAGAATAAAATCAATTCTTATTCTCATTCCGCCAGCATTAAATGATCTCTTGTACAAGAGATCAGTGATGTAAAAAAGGGGGGAAATGTTGGTGATTGTTTCTAATGGCTAGTTTTGATTTGGTCTTCGTCAACACCGCCCCGCAATTGATTACTTATCTTAAATTAATTAAAGACAATGCCTTGTCAATTATTTAAACTTTCACATTAAGGGCGTGTTCGGTCGTACTTAAAATCCAATTAAAATTGAAAAGCTGTTATTGGATCTCACTCGTCTAATAAAAGTCAACAATAACGGCTAATTTTTCAATTTTAATCCGATTTTAACCTCTATCAAACACGCTCGAAGTGTTTGAAATGGTACGAGAGCGTAAACAAAAGGTATTCTCTATTAAGCATGTGTTTGGCACCCATTTTTGGGAAATTATAAATTTTGGAATAGCGATTGATGGAAGAACGTGTGGTTGAAAAGTTATAAAAAGTTTTAGATTTGTGCGTAATATTATTTTATTTGAAGAATTTGTAGTTATAATTAAGAAATTTAAAAAATTTAAAAACAAAAATTAATGGATGCCAAACACCCTTTAAATTTTGCTGCCGTTTATCTATAAAAAATTTACGTGTCTCAAGCCTTTTAGAAAAATGAATATCAACATATATGTGATGTGGATTGCTCAAAACAAAATTAAATAAATATATTTTTAATATATGGTTAAATAAATGCGCTTTTCTCCTTGCTTTCGAATATGTTTCAAGTAGTTTTAATTAATCTCTTCTTTGATGGGAATTAAAATCAAATTTTCAATAGATTTTGATAAAAAATTGATGAAACATGTGCTTAAAATTAATTGTTGACTTTAACTTAAACTACCAAATATGGACTAAAATATGCCGTCCAATTAATAATGTGGCCGGTCTTTTATTAAATACATTGACTATGTTGTCATCGAATGGATTTAAAAAACACAATGTGTCTGTTAGCCAGTTTCCTTGTATTAATGGTTAATTAAAGGCGTCACGTGTTAATGAAATTAACAATGTAAATTCTGTTTATTGATTAAAAGACTTGTACATTCATTTTCTTATAAATTATTAAAAATTTTAATTTAATATTGGAAATGGTCGTATAAAAATATGATATACCAGACAGATTTGTCACATTCCTTGATAGACATTGGTCAATAAAAAAAAAAGTAGTTTTTGCACCAATCACTCATTGCCACATCTCATCGTCATCCAAGATGTTAAATTCATTTGAGAAAGTGATATTATTCATATGATACTTTTTTATGGGTAATCCTCTCATGGTATATTTCTTTTAATCACAAAGAACGAACCTTCCCTGGCATCAAGATCAAAAACCATTTTTTTTTTCTTGGCAAACATAACTTGATAATTTATTTTGTGATCACAATCCAAACTAAAATTACAACAAAACAAAAAAATTAGTTGTATACAATTTCCAAACAAATAATAGATGAAATTTCAGATAATTCCCTACATCTTCATCATTCTATGCATGCTAATAAGCTACATTTGGTGGATCGATCGAGCCTCAACACCTTGGCATGTCGGGAGGAGGAGGCAACATCTTAGCATCTCGACTCTTGCCATTTTTGACAATGAAAGCCATTCCCATTCCCCAACTTACATGACGCTCAAAATGGCAATGCATCATCCAAACTCCTGCAATATTTAAATGTACATCGTTAAATCTTCATTGCAACCTTGATGAAGAACAATAATAAGTGGAATAATATGTCACGTACCTGGATTATTTGCCTTGAATCTGATAGCTGTCCATCCTCTTCTTGGAACTGCAATTGTTTCCATTAGAGGAGGGTCGACAAGATTATAGTTCAAAGGGTCTTTGTCTTTGTCGAAGTTTCCAAATCCCCACCCAACCACATAAAAGCTATATCCATGTAAGTGCATAGGATGATCAATTCCTGCTACTGTGTTCGTTCCTTGGAACACAAGCTCTACTGTGGAATTGTAATCAAGAACTACTACATCTGTCCCATTTTCAGGCCTCCACAGGTCCCTAGGGATGACATCTGCAGTATAATTGTAAGTCAATGGTGGATCATTGGGAAAGTCATCTCCATAAACTCCTCTGATGCCCCTGTAATAAGCTTGAAGAATGGCGACTCTAGGCAGCTGAAAGGTTATGTTGTTTACACTTGCTGAAAAACGTTCATTAAAAGGCCCCTCACATGAATTATTGGGGCAAGGGCTTAAATTGATGGAAAGGGTAAAGAATAATTTAGTGGTCACATTTAAAGGAACATCAACAGGATGTTTTTCATTGGCTAAACTTCTGAGTTGCCCTGTGAAATTAGCCGAAGCATTTGTATCGTTGAAATTGGGAAGATTTGGAAGCAATGGAGATGATGGTGGAGTATAATTTCCCCTATACTCGATAATAGCTGTTGTAGTTGTGTTATCAAAATTCCCCGCACTGGCATAAACCCTGGAAGCCATATAATAGTGGCTCGGTTTTTGGTTAGCTTCCAACAAGAAATCAATGGTTTGCCCTGGGGAAATGGCAATAAGATTGCTCTTTAACGGTTTCGTGTAGCTGCCATCTGATCCAACTACAGTAATAGTGTGGTTTGCAATGGAAAAGAACATAATGTTGTTCATCACTGCATTAACCATTCGGAGTAGATAAGTCTTGCCATAATCCACAGTCAACTTGAATGTATCTGCACATTTTATATTACAGATTAGCTAGAATGTATCACCACATTTTATTTTTTTTTACGAAATTATCTAATTGATTCATGACAACGTAAATTCAGCTACGAACCTGATCTGGAGCACTGATATAGATCCCCGGGTTGACCGTTTATGAGGAAAGCATCGGAAACATTTGGATCCCCTCCGCTTGCAATGAATTCATTCATAACCTCTTCCACATCACTGTTCCACCACTCTCCTGGATTGCAGAAATTTAAGCAATGTCTCCTTATTAATTTTTTTTCCATTAATATTTTCAAAAATAGATAAAATTTGAAAAAACATGTACCTAGTATGATGGGAACTTCAGCATGTGGCTTGGGGAAAGGATAGTCATTTTTCTTCTTGGGATAAATAATGATTGCACCATGCACGGTAGCACGTGACCATTCACTATGAGCGTGCCACCACAATGTCCCTTCCTCGTCTGAGAGCACAATCTTTTGGCTAAACTTCGTTCCAGGTCGAATGGGGGCATTGAGTGACAAACTCGGGACCATCAGACCATGGATATCTTGGCATTTTCACTCCATGCCTGCAAAATGTTTGTACAAGGCTTAATAAATTCCAGTCTGTATAATTGGTTGATCACACTCACATACATATACTAAGTATACAAATATGTTTATACCAGTGAATGGTGATGTTTTCGTTTGCTCGGTTGTAAACATCAACAATGACCGTTTCTCCTTTAGTAGCGTATATAGTTGGCCCCGGAAATTGTCCATTTATTGTCAAGATTGTCTTGTTGGTGCAAAGCCTTGTGTATGGAGCATCTCTCAACTACAAAAACGAAGATTATTAACTTCAAGAAATCTTAAATTTGTGCTGTCAAAAACACTTAATGATATATGCATGCATTATACTCACCACGAACTTATAGCGACGTTCCTGAGCATAGGCAGGCAGCACGCCACCGAGAAGAAGAAATCCTATGAAATGAAAGACTAAAACTTTCATAATCAACCACATTATTGCTTGATCGCTTTCTATATTCAAATATCTTATGATCTGTGTCGTTGTTTGGATTAGGACAAGAGTTTGATGTATTTATAGGTTGAAAGTATAGAAAGATTATAAAGCTGTTCATAGTTCCGCAGGTTCATGAAATGAGATGGTCAGATTTGGTTTACGTATTCCAATACCATGTCTTTGACCTTCAAATGTAAAACGATTTTGTCAAAGTCTTCATTTAAAATGTTCTAATTTTTGAACTTCCTTTCCTTTGGTTGGGTTAGGTAGTTTGCATTCTAGTTTCCCACAAGGAAAGAGTCTTGTTGAGCGCGTTCATTGAGAAGAACTATTCTAAACTACTACAACTTAACGTTATTTTTAATATTTTAAATTATATTCAAAATAATTAATTGTCGAGAAGATACAAGTTGTCTTAAAATAAGGAGAGGAGAACCGTGTCTTAGACTGCTAGTTAGCCACAGCTATGATTTCAATAATTAAATTGGCATAAGATATGAAACTTTGAGTATTGAGATATACTCTCGTTATTTCCAAGAAACGGTTACTAGCCTTATTTTAAATGCTAATTTTGACTCTTATCAATGTCAATCAGACAGCTATGATTTCAATAATTTTAACTTCCAATCCCTTGTAATTATGTGTATTGTCTGAACTGTAAAAAAATCCTCAGTCATCTGTATGAACCGTCCTTGCAAAACAATTTTATGATAAGAAATTAATACCTGCAAAACTTGCATGATTGGTCCTCAGTCTATTGTCCCAACAATAAAAATGGAAGATCATCAAGCTTTCATACTATTGCAATTGTAGTTTTAAACTTTCAATTAATGGAAACCCACCATTAAACTATTAAAGATGGTAAAGCACTGGCGGACATACAGTGGGGCTTGCCAAAAATTAAGTTTTTTTATAAGATCATTATGAGATGTCAAACGAAATCGAAATATTGCATTTTTAATACCATTTCGAAGTGCTCACAACCTAATTTTTCACATTGTAAACAGCGCGCGAAACAGTTAATCGTAACAAATATTACAGAACGTCAAAATAGGTTGTTTTAAACTAATATTTCGAGAACTTCGATAACATATTAATTTAAAAACTCTCCGATAATCGTACGCTGTAGAATCAATAAATTGCATACGTCATCTCAAAACGCGTTTTGAGAACTACATTGTAGACATATTGGTCCAAATGAATATCGAAAATAATTAGACGTCTCAAAAATGCGTCCAACTCTTCTTTTCTTTTAAAAAATTCAATTATTTTATTAATGTTTATTATTTTTACGCGACAAATTCTCTATATAATTTACATAATTTTATTAAGAAATTTTATATGGAATATGACGTCAAAGATTTTCATATCATTATAAGATTGGACTGCAAGTTTTGCTTCTTTCAAGTTACAATGGTATGAGCAACTTGATTTTATATAGTAGTAAGGATCGAATTATCGATCGACTTCAACATTGTGGTTTGTAAACTGGCAATACCTTTTTTACAAGTTTTATTATACAATCTAACACAAAATGTTTGCATCCACCACTAGGATAAAGTTCTTAATTTTTTGTTAAAAATGATTAATGTGCCCTTGATATTTGTTTGAGAAAATTAAACATATAATAAGCCAAAAAAAAAAAAAAAATGAAGAAGAAGAAGAAAACCAGTGACAAGGCCAAAACCTAATGGTGCTAGGTTAGGTTCTCGAGCATGTTGTCAGAATAGAGAAGGCTCACGTGAAGGTACAAGTGTCCTACATAAATAAAAGAGTCACTTTCGTGGTTACTGTTCATAAGTCAAGTCAAGCCGAGCCAAATGGCTTTATAGCTCGGCTCGGCCGTCTAAGTCATTTTTTTTTTTAATTTACGTTTGATTCAGTATTTTAAGTTACAAATATTCGTTTTAAGCGATTTAAAATTTGTTGGAAATGTTGAAGTGCAGCCATAATAAATATATGATCGATAAATTTTAAATATAAAAAATAATTTTACATTAATTGTGAAACGTAAAATCGTGATTGTTTATGTTTCTTTTCAATCACAATTTCAACTTCATTCCAATATCCTTTTTTCGAACTTTATTTTCCTACAATTTTTCGTTTAATTCGATATTTCACGATATGAATATCCATTTGGATCGATTTAATTTTTTTAAAAAAAACTTAAAATGTGATAATAATAAATATATTGTTGATTAAGTTTAAATATAAAAATTATCTTAAATTATTAAACGTAAATCATAATCATTAATTTTTCTTTTCTACTCCATCCTCAACCCCCATACTCACTAATTTCTCTCAATTTCATTTTTCTTTAGTTTTTACGATTAAAAATGGTAAATTTATAACGTCAAAATGGATATTGAAGGAATTCAATGATTTTCAGAAAAATCCTCCTACATCATGCAGTGCTGGTAGATAAACATTTTCTATGAAGTAGATTATTTTAATATTTTTAAAAATGGATTTAATGGACAGTATCATTAGAACATACTGAAAAGATATTTGACGAAATTTATGAAGTTAAATGATCATTTGTCATTCTTTTTGCCTTTTATGATGAAAGTTTTTGTTGTGTTGTTTTAATACTGATAGAGACCCTTTATTTGTCCTAAATTCTGTACTGTATTATTATTAATTAATTAGCCTTAACTACATATGTCTTGCATAGGGTCTTGATAAAGAAATTAAATACTGGTGCAATTGATACATGTAATTGAAGATTCTATGAGTACGAGATGAAAGAGACATAATTTCTTATATCAATAGGTAGAGAAAGGAGGGTTATGTTGAACTTCATTATCTCTTTAATAGAGTATCAACACTTAATCATCTATACCCTATCTTTTTTTAAAAAGAACGTAGAGACATTCAAACGTAAAGTTTAGAAAATAAGCTTTAAATCAAATCTCTTAATATTGTTTTTATCACCTATCATCATTTCAAGTGTTTTAAGTTTAATGTAACTA